AAATGGCGAAACGAACCACCTCTTATTCTTGACTAATCATTTTCTAGCTTGTTAGTATTTTGGTATCAAATGGCGCCAATTGACAAAATTAGATGTCATAGTCATGGTGAGGCCATGACATCTAATTTTGTCAATTGGCGCCATTTGATACCAAAATACTAACAAGCTAGAAAATGATTAGTCAAGAATAAGAGGTGGTTCGTTTCGCCTTATACCAATCCGTAGGCGCAAGACTACCGGCGATCGAGGCGAGCAAGTAGCCGTCTAAATGCAACATTTTTACGTCACCAGGAATCGAACCATTGCACTACCACCAACCTTGCACCGCTTTTTTTATCCTACTAGAACCGTTCAGGGAAAATGAAACATGCTTTGTAGCCCATACCTGCGTCCCTGCAACATACAAGAACCGTTTGAAAAAGATCGGCTGTCTTGATCTGATAAGACCCCCTTTATGAGGACACTAGCCCCGAAATTTGCAACGAGTGAGTGGGAATGTGTAGCTCGAATTTTTTTGACTAGAATTTTTTTGACTAGAATCATACTAGTTTATCAAGCCGTTGAAGTACACTCTATAATGAACCCTTCTTCCTTCTGTATGTAGTGTGAGCTAAATGTGCAGTATTGTTTGGTCATTATTGTTATTTCGTTCCAGGTAAAAAATGTCTTCCATGTACAAGCTTCCTCCACTGGTGCCCGTAGATTTGGATGTGAAGCCTGCTGACGTCATGTATTTCCTTCCCAGCTATCACAACAGTGCGAGCAGCAGCGTAAGTCGTTCTCGCTTACATTTTTCTGGGACAGGCTTGTTTATTCTGGTATGAAATACGCGGTTCGCATGTTGGAGATAGCGGTAGTCTCGGTAGATAGGGTTTTTATGTGAAAAGGTCACGTTCATTGAAGGAAATCGCCTTGCCTACGAAAGTTCGATGGACTACATGAACTCGGCAGCGGCTCATGGCTAAGGCTGGTGTCAGAGTCCGCGATCCGTCGCAGGTTTCGCTGATTTTCGCGATTTCGCGATTTGCGCGATTTGCGCGATTCACGCGACGGGTCACGGAAATCACAAGTGCCCGATCAATACTGCAAGGTGTTCTCCAATCCTGCCGCCACTTCTGCTTGATAGTGATGGCTGAATGACGACTGCTCATGATTCCACTTGTTTCATATTCAGTGTTTCAAATGTTCACACACTTGCAATTTTTGCGATCCGTCGCAGGTTTCGCGCAAATCAGCGAAACCTGCGACGGATCGCGGACTCTGACACCACCTAATCTCACACATTCAAATTTTTGCCACACTAGCTGGCCCACCCACCTCGGACTTTTTCCTCCTGCAGGAGCTCAGCCTAGGACTCTCACTTTCCTCCTTAGGATTTGGAGCCGAGCTAGAAGCCGTCTGTGCCTCTGCCATTTGTGTCCACTCAATCAGCATTCTGGTATTTCGGGCCATAATCTATAAAATCTGATTTTATCATAGTTTGTTATTTTCGGAATTGTTGTGCCACTGGCATGTGCACAGCCTGCTTTCTGTAAGCTAAGACCGACGTCATAGTCGGCGACGGACCAAGCGATGGAGCGATCGCGATCGCTCCATCGCTTGTCCAATCGCTTGCCAATCGCTCTCGTCGAGCGATTGGCAAGCGATTGCGCAATGTGCACAAGCGACGGGCGATTGGCCCCGCCCCCAGTCAATGCAGTCGGCTGCGGTATCGATCGAGCAGAGCCATTGCCCGTCGCTTGTGCACTTTGCAAGCGCTCGACCAAGAGCGATTGGCAAGCGACGGACAAGCGGTGTAGCGATTGCGATCGCTCCATCGCTTGTGGGTTAAAAACTCTAGAAGTTCATACGTACAAAAGTATTTTGATATAGTTCAAACTCCTCATTGTGTCTTAAAACTATGAAAAGACTTAGAGGTCCTGATCGCTAATTTACCTTAAGCTTAATTATGTAAAAGACTAGTTATTATGTCGCCGAGCGAAGTGCCACATTCCAAAATTTCATACAAATTAGTAGTGTGATCGATCGATCGTGTGATGAGTCATCGCCCGTTGCCCACTCTTGTGGCTAGCGGCTCCGTCGCTGGCGGCTCCGTCGCTGGCGGCTCCGTCGCTGGCGGCTCCGTCGCTGGTGTCCAGCGACGCAATCGCCGAGTCTGACCGAGGTCAGAAGAAGCACTTTCAAATGATATGTGTTTTCTTGGGTTATACTTGTATTTTCTAAATTCGTAGCTCGAAAAGAAAAACCGCTACGGTACTATGCACCAACCCAGTAGAATCACTCACAAGGCGTTTTCGTGCTAGCGTAGGAGCGCCGAAACGGAAAATGCCGACTTTCTATTTGCGGCAATGTTGAAGCTAATGGATTGTCCAATTGTCTCCATTCTCATCACTATTCAAAATCTATTAGTACGTAGGCCTCGTGCTAGCTTTTTCGATGCAGCTCCGTACAGTTATTTTTGTGATTACTTCTCTCCACTGAGTCGAAAACACGAGACATATTTCTGATTATTTTGTGCTTATTATTTCAAATGATTTCATTTTGAAGGATTCGCAAGTTATGTGCAATGGCCTGCCGGAGGAAAACCATGACCCGGTTGAAGTCATAGAGCGCAAGCAGCACGCCCTCATCAAGTCTCTCATGAATCTCACTTCGACGCTGGATAACTTGTTGACGGAAATGGGCAAGTCGAGTAAGTTTTTCCATGTTCCAATATTAGTTTTCGAATTGCTATGTTTTCATGAGCTTGTGAAAATTGAGGTTTTTTTCAGTTGTGTGGTCATTCTATCTCTGTTTTTAGCCAAAGTGGGAACAAATGAGAAAGGGAAGAGCAAGTCCATGAGTGCCGTTCCGCTTTCTACAGAGTCTGTGGCAACAACGAAGGATGACGCTAAGAAAGACAAAGAGGCAAAGAAGGAAGCCCGTAAGGCTGCCAAGGCGGAAGCTAAAAGCAAGGTATAGTTCAGGACTGTTTTGAGATTCTCCATAAAACAATTGCCTATTGTCCTGGGTTATGTTGACCTCCCTATTGATCTTCTTAATTTACCTTTAGTGAATAATCAGCTGTCTTATTAATTTGTAGGTGGGCTCCGCTCCGCCTGGTGCAATCAAGCCTGCAACTATGGTTGCTTCTGACCGACAGTGGACTATAAATGTAAATTAACTTTGGCTGTTTGCTTGAATTTTTTCCTTCTGTTGTAGGATCTTGGTTAGCGAATTGTATTTTTAGGAAGAAAAGAAAACTACTGAAACTGGTCAATCTCTCACTGCTTGCCTGCCGCAAACATTTTTTGATTTTGAAAGTCAAAGTAGGGCTCTCGAGGTTACTCTCCACATGCTTATATGAGATTCTTACTCCTTTAATTCAGAGTTGGGTGAAATCACACTCACTTTTACAATGGCGGATCAACCGTGGGTCGAGGCTTTATCACGTCTGAGTGCCGAAAGGAATGTATCGTTCAGAGGAGCTGTATCAAATGAATGCAGAGACCCATCGACTAGTGTCAATGCGTCGCTTGGAGGTATGCCTTGCTGTTTATTACTTCTTTATTACGGACTGTTTGAAAATCGAAGTCATTTAACCTAGGCTTCCTTTTGAAGGATGGGAACAAATGATAATTTCCAAAGGCACTCAGTCGGTGCCATGGCCGGGAAAGGGTTAATGTGTTTCAACCTGATCAGAGATTCATCAATCCACTCCTGTGGTATTGATGCCTTCTCTGGTCCATAACTCAGCTTCCATATTACAAAAGCATTCATATTTGCGCATTACCCTATGGTTCTTCAAAAATTAAATTGGAAAGAATTGATTTGCGAAGCTCATTATGAATGTATTTAAATA